AGAAGTCAAGAGATAGAGAAATTAGTGGAACTTGTCAAGTTCCTTATTAATGTTATTAATGTAATTCATATTTTCTTGCTATGATTATATGGTGCTTAATAGTAACACCAAAGGTTTTAATTGTAATTTTTTTGTAGGACTGATTTTTGTGGAATGTGGGTTAATACGAAATGTTTTTATAACCATAGTATTTGAAAACGTTTTGAAAATTTTGGGGTGTTACATATATACTATGTTGCGGTATCTAGAGATTAGAAAATTTATATTGTTGATTGAATTCCATCTTCTAACGTGCATAATATCTTCTAACGTGCATAATATCCTTATCATTGTAATAACTCACCTTTCCGTTGAGAACTTGTAACATGCATAATATCTTTGTTTCTAACCTGTTTTCTATGATCTTTATATCTACGCAAAAGTAGGAACATACTCTACAATTTTGTTAAGTCATGTCTCACTACATTAATATGAGTCTTAATTTATTAAGTCACAAACTTTGACCAAAAGCATAAAAATACTCAATTTACCATTTTAGCCAAAAGGTATCTTCTCATGCATTCTTTCTCTTAAACTTATTCTATAATAAGTTACTTAAACTCATCTTAGCCATTTTCATGAAGCCACAACTTCATATTCTCATTAATGAACATTTTTCCCTTTTGGTTAATATTTGACTAAAAGTCAACTTTCTCTAAATTTCGGGTTCTTACATTCAACTTCACAAAATATATAACATCACATGCAATCATTATACATCGTTATAATATTGTATTACATATTGTTCCTTGTTTAATTCCTCATTGTAATTATGTATCCTCATTCCTTGTTGTGATTACTATTAATAATAAGTCATCATTGTAATTTCTTATCCTCATACCTCATTGTAAATAATGTTAATAATAATTCATTTATGTAATTACTTATCCTTATTCCACATAGTAATTACTATTAATAATAATCAATAATTGTAATCACTTATCCTTATTCCTCGTAGTAATTTTTTTCATCATATACATAGGTTCCTACATCGCTAACCACAAGGTAACAACACAATTTACTACTAGCCTGATCGGCTAGACAAATACACCAGGTGAGGCGTGACTCTCACTCATGACATGGTCACCCAGTTCATTGCTTTCGCTTCTCCAATGTTACAAAATAAAAGTATTTCACAGTGCCATTAATGATTGGTACGAATGATGCCGATACAATCACATACATCACATATACCCAATGTGATGCTTGTGTTAGCTTTCCTATTAAAGCTAACATCACTCCATTCCACCCATTGCAACAACCATGTTTTGAAATGGACATCTAGAAAACCATCGACTCTTCTATGGCTTAAGCTCTTTTACCTAAGGTATCTTTCAACACATAAGTCACCGTACAATCCAGATAGGGTATGCATGATTAAGGTTAATATGATTGTGCCTTTAAGTATGCTCCCAATTTATTAATTTTTAGTTTATAATTATTTACATACAGAGGAATTCATATTCATCCAAAACCATTATGTATAATTTTCACCACTTAACAATTCACATTACATCACTAGCATGTAACATCCCGTGATTCCAGGTATTTTCAAATCCTCCCCTTGGAAATAATATGTCATGTTGGTCCTTGATTTTGGTTGAATTTAGCCCTAAGAGGCCCAAGGGGCAAATTGGTAATTTTAGGCGGAGGGGGAGTACGCTATGCGTACATATGAGTACGCTTAGTGTACTAAGGCGTGCCTTAGTATGCAGGGCATACATATATGTATGCAAGGCGTACATATGTCTGAGTGCAACCCTAACTTTTAGGGTTTGTTGGGTATTTAAACCCCATTATGCACCCTTTACCCTTATGCTTTCAGCCTCCAAGTCCCGAGATCGTTTTTGGAAAACCCTAGCTTCTCTTTTGTGTGTGTGTGTGTGTGAGAGAGAGAGAGAGCTAAGAGTGTATTCTTATGTGTTTGAAGAAGAAGAAGTTTCATCAAGGTGTTTGGATAGTGAAACAAGCTTGTAGATCTGGGATCATCTTGTCATTTAGAAGCTCTAGAAAGTAAAAAGCTTCTGACTTTGTCCTTGTATTGTGTGGATCTTGTTTTGTTAGCTTTTTGGTACTCTTCTTATCCCAAAAGTCCCAATATGGTACATGTTATGTTTTGGACGTTTTAAGTTGTCCTTTCAGACCCTAGGAAGGGTCCCAAGTGATAAAAAATGAAGTCATAATGGCTAGAAGTGTCCCATGTATTTGGTACAAAGCTCTTAATGGATTAAGACCATGTATTAACGACTTTTTGGACGTCCAAAGTCTTAAAGTTTGAGACTTTATGCGTCTGAGATACATTTGGTTGATGGATCTGGAATTTGGGTTTAAGTGTTTAAGCCATTAAGCACTTATTAGAGTTTTGAACTCTGCGAGTGTGCGCCCCGCGTAGAGGGGAGTATGCCCCTTGTACACAGTCAACGCCATCGTTTCCGGTCAATGTGAGGCTCGCGTATACCCCGCGTAGTTTCAGAGTACGTCCAACGTATGTCTTCTGATGGGCCTTTACGAGTTAGGCTATAATTTTGGGCCATCTTTGGGCCAGCTCATCTTGGGCCCTTATTGGACTTTCTGAGTTTGAGTGTCGGGCCAATTAGAAATTTGGACCTTAAGTAAAGTCCCAATAAGGAGTTGGGCATAATTTGGAAAATTGGGCCAATTATGGTCCTTGTATATTTTGGACCTTTTGGGTCAAGGTTAGACTTGGGTTTGGCCCAGTTAATGAAGAGTTAATGGACGATTATGAGTTAGGGGATTTGAGGTGATAATCATTTTATTAATTGGAGGGTTATTTATTATGATAGTTTGAGATTTTCGTGGGCTAACGATCGGAGGTTCTGTTTGATACGTCAGTGTAAGGTGAGTTCTCATCACTATACTAACAAGGTTGAAAGCACCAAGGTCGGTCCTTTGGATTGTATCCATGTTTATCATATGATGTTATGTGTAGTGATATGTTAGATCTGTGTCCTGGTATATAGGATAATGTTATAATTGATGATCGGTTAGGCCTATATGATTACTGTATGTGCTAGCTAGCGTTTTATATTTATGTGATGTTATGTGATGGTGGTCCTACTGTGTGTTGAAGGCTAACAGATCTAGGGCGCCCCGGATAGACCGAAGGCCCAACAGGGCATACCAGTCAGGCAGAAGGCCTGGAGAACGATCCAGATAGGCTGAAGGCCCGGTGAGGCGGTCTAGTCATGCTGAAGGTTCTGTGAGTAGTCCAGATAGGCTGAAGGCCTGGTAAGACGGTCCAATCTTGCTAAAGGTTCTGTATGCATACTATTTGTTCATGATATTGTTCTGGTTTGTATGGTGTGGTATTTTGGGACAACTCACTTAGCTTTAGGCTTACAGTTTTGGATTTATGTTTCAGGTACATCTGATGATCGCAGAAAGGCGAAGGCTTGATCGTGCACCTCCTCACATTTGGTGTTACGATTTCTGGGATTTCTCTAAAGTTAAACTATTTTGAAAACAATTTGTAATAACCGGTGGTTTTTGGTATTTTAAAAAGTTTAAAAATTTTATGATTTTTTATGGGTGTTACATAGCATGCATTTTTCATAACCATTATAGACAAAGTAATTTCCATAATCTAGCATGCAAACATCCTTATATAACATCATTAAGTCCATCGACTAGCATGAATTCAGCATCACATAATATATCATCTAACATGCATGACAACCAAATACTCATACCGCAACAAGATAATATATTTCCAGCATATAAGTAATACAATATCACTCCACACATAGGATAGAATAATTCGGATCAGTGGATTCATTGTGGGTTATGGACTCATTATTCATGACAACCTAAAGCTCATACCGTAACCACATAATGTATTTCCAACATATAAGTAATACGATATCATTTCACACACAGGATAAACTAATTCGGATCAATCGATTCATTGTGATTTATGGACTCATTAATCTCTCATTGTGTTATTAAGATCTAGTAGCGATTCAACATCCTCGTTCTGAGTTTCTTTCTAACTCCCTTAGTGAAGTAGCAAAACGAAACTACCTCACTTTTAAGTGTAATTAGCACTTCTACCCTTAACCCTTGGGTGGGTATATAAAGTTTACATATACCAAGCACCATCTATATATTATGGGCTTTGAATCTAGTACTCAAAGGTTTCAAATTTTGGACTAATATGCTTTACAAATAGTGACCAAGCAAGTATCGTCGATTCAGCCTTCTTGGATCATGCACATTGACATATGTTTCATCACATTCAAAGCCTCGATCGTTATGCTAGAGAAATAACATGCAACAAAAATGAACAAGTAGCAGACACCAATGCACTTCTACAATCAAATCACGATTTCCTCAAAGTACAACTTGGAGTTTTGCAACTTTTAATCAAGGGAGTGTTAAAAACTAATTAACACTCTCGGCTTTAACCAATTATTGCTCCATTTCCCTCTAATCTAGCTCTAGTCAAAGTAGTTGAGAATAAACTGTTGTAATAGGTATTTTGCTTTTTATTTTTTCTGATTCGCTTATTAGATGTAACTATGTAAGCCTAGCAATTACGGCGTCCTTTTACTTTGTATTAATATGAATTAATAGAGTACTTTCATTAATGAAACTTGGTTCGAGCATTTTTAATTTAGTCAAAGAAGCGGTGGTTTTGTCTCACCTATGGGATGTTTGGAATTATAGGGATAGGGTTTCTTCTTGAGGACGATGTAATACATCATTTAAATAGGTCTTGTAAAATTCAAATCAAAACTCAAGATATGGAGCATTATACCAATCATAAGGCAATATGCGGACAATTACATACATCTAAAGGCTAACGTTTTCTCCTTTTAAATACTATAACGAAAAGAAAAAAATTAAACAAGTTAAAAATTATAAAAACCTAGTAATTCAATGGTAACGAAATCCTAGGGCAAATCACCATCACAACCATCAAACCACCATCGAGAATGTGATTAGTATCTCGTGGAGTAATCGCAATCTTGAGATAAAATACGTGGATTCTTGGCCAAATTATCGACCTTGAAATGACACAACATTGATATCGTCTTGCTCTTCATCTGCAACGTCCCCACCTTCATTTTCACCGGAACCCTAAACTCTAGTAATATTTCGACATGTCCTTGGGATTTTCCAGTCGTCCTATTCATGCTTTTTCGAATTCCCATCGGTAACTTACTGTTGGATGAACTCGTAAGGGTTAACTTCACGTCCTTCGAGTTTTTAGGGCTTTGTACAGACGACGGAAACCTTCCAATGGCGAATCTTCTATCTTTAAAAGACAAAGCAGCTTTGCCATGATCATCAAATGATATGATCGTGTGAGCATTAGGGTTTCTTGATGCCAACGTGATGTCGAAATCGGTTTTCTTCTGTCGGTTTTTTCCTTTCATGTTAACACGTACACGTTCTACGCGAAATCTAGGGTCATCTTTCCTTGATCACCACTAACATAATCCCACCTATGAATCCTAGAAGGAGCACTATGATAGCGATGGAAATCAACAGATATTTAACACAGTTAGATTGTTTCTTAGCAGGAGAGTTACGATAACGTTCCACGATCAAAGCGTTTTCTGGTGGTGGGGTTCTGTAAATTCGATCTTTAGGGACTTGGACAACGTAAGTCCCCGGAGGAGCGTCTTGGAAGTTGTTGGTGGCGGGAATGCTGTGGTATTTGTGGGTGGAATTAGGGAGGTGGTCACCGGAGACATGGGAAGTGGAGGGAGGCCCCCCTCTCCTCCATGAAAGGAACAAAAATGATGGTGGATGGTGGTGGTTTTGGCAATAATGGTGGAAGAAGGTGGTGGTGGTTTGCATACAGGGGGAAGGGGAGGTTTTTCTGAATTAACCATTTGAGAGGTTGAGCACATAGAGTGGGATTGATCTTGGTGTAAGAATTTTTAGCCTATTATAAAATTTTGTTTGGTTAATTTAAAAATACATTAAGCGCCAAGGAAATTCTTCAATTCGATTACGAATTTGATGGGAAATTAAATATTAATGCACAAGATTAATTTCGATAAGAAATTATGAATTATATATGCAAAACTCATATTTAGTATTATATTATACTATCTAAATTTGGATGCTTGCATATCTGGTTTTCATTTTACTTATTTTGGTCATAAGTTTATTTTTACTTATTGTAATCATAAGTTCATTTATTTAACAACAATATTCACTAACTTTATTACGTACAATCCCAATTTCTAACATATGATGAATTAAAGCACCTAACTTATTGTTCTCTATGTGCAGATCTAACTCCTTTTTAAAAAAAATGAAATTAGGATGTTATTGAAATGTAGGATATTGATGCCAATTATTAACGATAAATTTGAAAATATAAATGGCCAAAAGCATTTGAGTTTAAAAAAAAAAAAAAAAAAAAAAAAACCTAAATTTTGGATTTTTGAAAACAGCAATCATCCTATTTCAAAATAAATGAAAAATGAAGTAAGTTCTATTTCTCGGTTTTGGTTAATAACTACATTAAATAGGATTATAATCTTTAAATATGTTTCCAGAAAAATAATTCGTAAGAAACTTTTACTAAATTGTTACAATAGTCAACTAAAGCTCTTCCTTACAAACAGAAAACCATAATAGACTTTGATCTTTGTTGGTCGAATTACAATAATAAAACTAAAATTCTCCATAGTTTGGTTTTGGTCCAAGTATGTAATTCAAAAAGAAAAGTAGGATTTTTTTTTTTTTTTGGTCTAATCTGGAATTTAAAAAGAAAAGTAAGATGTTATTTTAAAGTAGCTGAAAACAGCAAGCATTTAGTACCATAAGTACGATGATGTTTTTATGTTTTAAAAAAATAAGTATAGATTAACCTTATCATTTACATGCTTCAAAATTCGTGAGCAAAATGGAGGCATCTCTTATTAACAAGCTTATTTATTTATTTATTTTTTAATTTTGGAGACCCTTTGGTGTTAATTATAGTGTTTATTAATTGTTTATTACATTTTAGCCCAAATCTCTATGAGTAGCAAGCAATATAGATTCATGAGCTATATTTTCAATATTAGGCCCAACTAACCCTGGCATAGCTGAAGGGATAAGGTCACAAATGACATCTTTGTCCACCTCCATGAGGACCTCTCGTAAATATAAAAGAGGTCCTTTGAATCTTTTTTTAAAATAAAAGAGGCATTGGACATTGCTTCTTTTTTGAAATAAACTAATGGTTTTGTAAATTGTTAATTACTGAATAGCAATGTACCTTACCCTCTGATTCATGCCATGTACTTTATTGTAATTATGGTAATATAATAGAAAAAAAATGAAAATAGAATGCTATATAATACACAAATAGTTTATTTCTTGCATTTAACCCCTGATTGTGCTAAATGCAAGAAATACCAATACACTTTCATCAGTTTTTTCTAATATCGCATCTCACATATTACCTTCTTCACATAAACATCACTGCCATTTTATATATAATGGGCGTGTTTGGCAAAAGTAGCTGTTAGCTGGAAGCGGGTAGCGGTTAGCTGGTAGCGGGTAGCTGGTAGCGTATAGCTGGTAGCTGGTAGCGGGAAGCTGTAGCTTTTATTTGTTATATGAATGTTTGGCAAAAGTAACTGGAAGCTTTTGAAATATATAAAATTACATAAAAGGACAATTTATTAAAAATAAAAAATATATACAAATATATTTTTAAGGGTAATTATGGAAATTGATTTCAAAAGCTCCGGAGCGTTTTGTTAAAAGCTACATGAAGTAGCTTTTAGAATCGGAGCGTTTTGTTAAAACTAAAAGCTAAACGCTCGTACTGCCAAACGAAGCTTTTTGTTTAAACTAGAGCGTTTTGTCAAAAGCTAAAAGCTAGAAGCTCCCAAACGCTTCCAAAAGCTCCATGCCAAACACGCCCAATAAAATTTTGGCTGTTTAATCCATCAAAATCTGATACTTTGATGGTTTTTGATTATATACAATTAATTTAAAGTTAATATTCAAAACATTATAAGAAACATCAACAAGTGTATTATTATTCTTTTTATCGTTTGTAGAGGTGATGGGACTACGGTGGAATTGCAGAACATATCTACAAACTGATATTTGAACCAGCATGGAATTATTTGAATAAGATTGATAGAGTATGGGGAGTTTTCAAGCCAAAAAATCCCAATGAATTTCAATAGAGTTTTAGTGGGTTTAACCATGGCCTATACCATAATATGAATGTAGCTACTGTAAGTTTTTGGTCAATTGTGTCCCCTAGATATGGAAACAAGTCCACAATTGATCAGTACATTAATGAATTCACGTTGATGTAATCTACTGAAAGTAGATGATATAATTTTTTTTAACCCTGATTAGCAATGCACTCAAATTGTTTGACCTATAATATCAATATACTTACATTGCTATAGCCCGGTAGGTTTTGCAAGGTAAAATGTTGCATTAAGAAAAAATAATGGTGGAATGCTATGATAAATATTTAGTGAAAGTATCTTTTAACCCAATTGAAGCTAAATAACGGTAGAATGCTATGATAAAAAAATAATGGTAGAATGTTGCAAAGTAATATGTTCCATTAGATATGCAAAAAAATCATGAAAATGATCATTAATGGATATTTTTTAAGTTTATAGGAGTGTGTTTTCAACAAAAAATAATGCTTAAACCTCCGCCGTAACATGCGGACTTAAAATCTCGTTATATACTATAATCAAGTCCGATATGCCACTATGAATTCATATCCAACTAATTTTAATCAAATATAACAGCTCAATCAAAAGGATGTACTAAAACTGCAAACGAATTGAACGTTTAACAAATTGTTCGTAAATCGTTCGGCGGAATTTTACATTCGTTTATCTAATAAACGAACAAACATGAATAAGATATATCATTCGTTTAGTTAAACGAACGAGCATGGACAATGCTCTCGTTAATTTATTTATGTTCGTTTACCTTCATTCATTTGTTATTGTGTGTGTTTGTTTGTTTAAGTTCACATCTATCTATTTGTTTATGTTCATTTAAGTTCATTAGTATTTGTCCTTTAATGTTAAATTTTGTTCGCTTAATTATGTGTCTTTGTGCTCGTTTGTGTTTATTTATGTTCATATCTATTGGTTTAGGTTTACCAGTTAAATAAACGAACATAACTAAACACGAACATAAAATTTTGTTCATTTATTTGTTATTAATGTTCGTTTGTTTATCGTTCAAAGTTAAACGAATGAACATGAATACAATTTTGTTCATGTTCGTTCGCTTTGTTTACAGCCCTATGCACGAGCTTAAAGATGCACAAACATTGAGTAACTCGGAAACTAGATTAACCAGATATATTTTTGGATTTGTATATTGGATATGGATACCTGATAAATCCAAATTTGGTATTTTAAGATTTTTGTATTGGATATGGGTAACCTGAGTAATCAAATTAGGATTTAGATAATCCAAGTTTTATGGTATCCGAATTCAAAAAGTTCTTTAAAAAACGGTTTTAATTTGTTTTTTTCAGTTTTATATATATCTCCAACAAAATAAATACGTGTATAATATTTGGTTCTAAAATAAAAAATAAAAAACTAATGCTAAAAGTACATCAGTGTAAGGATAAAAACTGAAAATACTTTTAATTTGCCTTGAATTTTGTCGTATTCATAACATCGAATTTTATCCTAATGTGAAAATTCTAGAATGGTGTCTTTATCAATGTCATCCCCAGTACTTTGGTGATTGGAGGTGTATCTCTTGTGTAAGCTTTTCTTCATGTATGAACTCTTCGATGGGTGGTAAGAGAGCGGTTCTTGAATATCATTTCAGCATGGTTAAAAAGTCCTTCAAACAAACACATACTTTCATTGATTCGGCCAAGTAATCCAATTACTTTCATTGATTCGGCCAAGTTATCCAATTTTGACCCTTTATGTTCTCAAATTACCATAAAAGTTTAAACGGTTTGTATACCACAAGCTATGATGGATATAATCATAATTTACGATTCATTTTCTTTCTACCAATCCAAAATATTAAGGTTTTACGGTTTATGTGTGGTTGATGTTTATAGTAGGATTTAACGTGCGGAAAAAAGAAAAACAATAAGCATCTCCCAAAAACATTATAAAAGTTTTAGTTTCATGAGCATATAGGCAACAAAACAGGTAATCGTATTGTGTTTTTGTCTGACACGATACGGCAATATTTTATGTAACGCGAATATGATATGACACGATGATTTACTTTTTTAACTAACATGAAATTAACCAATTAATTAGTTTATTTAAGTAATAATAAATCATACATAACACGAAAAATATGACAGATAAATGCTAAATCAAAGTCAATTTTGTTTCGAATTTTGAACATAAACACGAACGACATAACGGTGTGATTTTTATACTAGACACGATAGGGACACAAATTCGAATTTCAATTCCGTCAGAATATTCCTCTATATCATGTATTTTTTTCATGTCGTATTATAAATTGTTACCCTTACATAAGGATACCCATATAAAAAAAATTATGGGCGTGTTTAGCAAAGAGCGGTTGGGGTATCTGGGAGTCTCTAACATTTGACAAAAAACTCGGTTATATATATATATATATATATATATATATATATATATATATATATATATATATATATATATATATATATATATATTATATATATATATATATATAGGTTTTTAGCGTTTTCTTTAAACAAAACACTCCAAATCTAAAAAGTTATCTCATGTAGTGTTAACAAAACGTTATCCACTACCAACTACCTACTACTTGCTAGCAGATAGTGTTATCAAACACGCTTATGGTAGCATTTGACATTTCATATTCGGTCCATAGTTTAATGCATCTCGTGTCTAACGATAATGTGACTTAGTGGATTATAATTGTAACGACCCAAAAATCAAGAGTAAAAATTTTATTTTTATTATAGTCAAAACACAGATATCTTTTAAATCCAAACATTCCAAAAACATGATTAATTAAAAACATTTATCAGAGTTCTTCCCAACATATATCGTGGAAACACGGGTGTATGCGCTGCGATCAAGTCGGGCCTTTCCTTTCCCAAACCGATGATACCTGAAACCATAAACAAAACTGTAATTACGAAGCTTAGTGAGTTCCCCAGAGCATGCCACATAATCCTCATAACCGCATAAACCATATCTATCACATAGGTCGTGTCAATCACATAAGCCACTTATATCAACATATAAGGAAGCCATGGAAACACTCCAAGGTCTTACACACATAATCACAGAAACCATATCAACTACACAAGTCATGCATATTAATATATAGGGATGCCCTGGAAACCCTCCAGGGTCTTACTCCGGGTGTCATGGGAACCCCCACATGGTCTTAGCCCAATGCCATATAAATAATACATGCAAATAAACATATAAGGATGCCCTGGAAACCCTCCAGGGTCTTACTCTGTGTGCCATGGGAACCCCACATAAT